AGACTGAAAGAGAAGAAGAGACACTTGAGACAGACTTTACGACTGCCAAAAAAATCCTTTCCACGAGTCCCTAAACTATACAGAAATAAAGGAAGCAGCAGAGTCTGAACTGCAACTGGACCTCATTTTGCTTTTGAAGCACCCAGCTTCAAAGTTCTAAACCAAACATCTGCCTACACCCTCCTAGGGCATCTATTTGGAAAACGTGTGACTCTGCAGAACACAAGGAGAAGAAGGTTCACAGGGCTGCTCTGGAAGTTTAAGCCATGACATATCCATGAAGACACCCATGTGCCACAGTAAGGCCATGGAGTCCAACAGACCACAGACCTACAGTTCACAAACTGAGTTTCTGTGAGCATTAAGAAAAGAGTATTTCATTTTGACATCTTTCCAGATAAGGCTGCAATGCTCTGTGTTAAAGTTCTAAAGAAAGGAGCTCAGAAACTCAGCAAGCTTCCCAGACAGCGGTCAGGATGCTCAACAACATGCTGCAAACCAGATGCCAACAAATTTTGTTGGTGTATGCTCATTTGCTAACAGGTAACCTGCAGTCTGAAATCCAGATCAAGTGCACCAAATGAGTACAATGCTTTCCAGAAAGCTGATAAATCAACAACAGCCAAATGAACAATGGGGTTCAGCAGACACCAGCGAGAGCCAGCCCAGCAGATGCAGTGCCAGCAGACACAGCTCTGGGTGCACCACACTGACCTTGCCTCAGTGTGACTTGAGTCTCCTTTCAGCAAGGGCCACCGGTCACAGATAGCTCTGCAGACCTTACATCTTGCTAATTATTTCAGCTCATTTTGCTTGTGACCTAAAACCTACTTAGACACAGAACAGATGAGGTAAAAGGTGAGATGCTTTTCAGACTCCATACACTTTCCTGACTTGGGGCCTCAACTGTCAGTACATCCCTCCAAGTATGAATTTTACTTTTCAAGGACAGTTTAACTGGAGAATTAAATTGAACGGCCATCACTGTGCTTCAAGTAACATTCAAAATACTACTAGCTTTTATTTTTACATCAGTAATTCTAAAAGGCTTTATTTTTCAAATTAATCTACATAATTTGGGCTCCACTCCTTCTTTACTCTGGGTAGGTCATACACAATGCTATGCATACAATGTGCCAGACATCCTGCAGACAGGCTGGGTAGAACAAGATCTCCTGTACTCACAAAGTAGATTTGTGCTAACAGCCACAGCTGGACTACACAGGATGCACATTCTCTACGGCTTCACGCTCCATTAGTCACATGTGCTCACTGACCTTGAGTTCATCTTCCTTCCAAACCCTCTGCCTTGGTCCTGCTGTGAATGCTTCATTCTGGAGCTCACCAATCTCCATAGGAAAGCCACCCGCAGGGCAACTCAGCTGTAGTAAGACTCAGCGTCACCAGGAAGGGATGTTTCAGGGAGATGAATTCCAGCCATTCCAGCAACTAGAAAGGCACCTCTGATTTCTAACCTCATACGAATCCACCACAAAGGTGACCTGACGCTTCAGGGCACTCCAGACAGAGCGGGTGGTGGGAGAGGGAAAGACAGGAGGTGTCCCTGGGTGCCATGGGCTACATAAAGACAGAGCAGCAAGAGCACAGCTACTAGTGCTCAGCATCTCCTGGCTCCAAGGCCATAACAGAGATGCCACAGCAAAGCTTAGAGGCTCCTAGGCCATTCCAGCTCCCATCCCTGCCTTCCCACTTGCCCTGTGCCCGGGCTTTCCTTGGTGCTGCTCTAAGTCCTGCCCTGGCTCCATGTCAGCCCATGGCAGCACTCCGATTTACCATACCTCAGCACACAACCCCCACAGATGGGGGTTGACAGCCCCAACCTGAGAATCAGACTGTAAGACATGGCCTAAAAACGCCGCAGGCATGAAAGAAAAGACAAGGTAGGGGCTGGATCCACTTAGGAACCCATCCCAATTTTCTCTGCTCTGTAGGAGTTATGTCACCTAGAATCTCCCTCACTGGAAGCATCATTCCAGGGCACAAACTGTGCATGAGAAAAAAGCTCTATTTATGAGAAGAGAGAAGCACTGGGAGCACCCTCCTAGCAGAGGGACAGAGAGCCTTCGCCGGGTTATAGAGGGTGCTCTGTGCCCTGACATACAAAGCAACTGGGAAGCACTGGTCACAGCTTAATAACACAGTGTCTTGCAATTGGAATTTCATGTGTGATTCCATGAAATTTCATACCCTTTGAAATTGTTCCTCCAGTAACATCAGGTGACTAGTAGCAGGGTATTGAGTCTGATAGCACGATCACTCACCAAGGAAATCTTACTGTGGGAATCCAACCAAGCACTGGGGTTTAGCTCCCCTCAAGCCAGCATCTCCCTTGCCCACATGAGCTAAGTTCTACCCTTGGTTTAGTGTTGGATAGTTTCTTACATTACTTCTCAAACCAAGCAGGAAGCCCTACAGAGAAGTCCAAAGTTGCACCTTTACAGAGTATGCAATGGCCATGCACATTTTACCAGGGTATAAAGCCTTGGCACCATCAAGCACCCAGACTGTAACTGATACCCTGGCACAACATCTTCTCTCTTCAGCAATGGTTTCTTTGCTTGAGAGTTGCAATTTACACCACGCCTCCCTCCTAACACACCACATGAGTATGAAGCACCCCACTACCGCACTCTTACCTGAATAACCATCAATCCAGGCTGACAGCTCTCTGATCAAGTAATCAAGTAAAACACAGCTAACAGGTAATTTTTATCTCATGGCACTTGCAGGTCACTGCTGATCGCATCCTCTCACTCACCACAGTTTGCTGCCAAAGCTCAGAAAGCAAAGGAAACAGAGGCATTTGCTGGCAGGAACCTCTGCCCTCCTGGAGAGAAGGCACCACACTACAGCTTCCAGATTGGTGGATCCAAGCCACAGAAACTCAAATTTCATGTAAGAAATTGACTTCGCTGTATCTTCAGATCCACCCATCTGGATCAACAAAGCCTGCACAGGGAAACTCACAGCAGCCAGCACTCATCTCAGCAAATCAGACTTGGCACCAGTGAGCCCGAGTCCATTCAGTTCCATCACATCTTGAAGGGAGAATGCAGATGGGCCCAGAGGGCTGGAATATCCACTTCAGAACTAAAGTCTATAAACTTTTCCAGGCAACAGAGGAAAAAAATCAGTCTCTCTGGGGAAGCGTGGAAGGAGACAGACACATTACTGAGATGCACCAACTGTGAGAGAAACACCTGCATCACTGTGAGATGCGTGTAACCAGAAGATCTGAACGTTGCCTATGAGAACAGCATCTGCTACGGACAACACGTCAGGATAAACTAGCTCTATCCATGCTTGTTCAGCTTCAATGCAGATAAAGTAATTCAACCAACAGCATTCATCTCCTTCAAGCAGAACCACTACTACAGCCTGTAGCATCCCAAGAAAATTTTAATTCAGGTGCACCTTCATTACTCTTGGCACTTCCACAGCTATCATTTCAAACCCCAAACTTTCCAACTCCTTTAAAGCAGATACACGGTTCACCAGTTCAGGATACAAGCCCCACCAATGACTGCAGCTCACATGGAGACGGAGCAGTAACATCTTAATGGACAACAATGACAGTCACTTGCACAAATGTAATACTAAAGATGTCACCGGTCAACAGGGAGAGCTCTTCTGTGATAAATAAGAACCATGGTGACTTCAAGTGAATCCAAGACAGAGATCCATGGAGATAAATACAGGCAAGTCAAAGCCCTGCAGATGGCTGATGTTGGAAGCTCACTAGCTCAGACTAAGCCTCCTGTTCCTCAGAGAGGAAAGAAGGTGGGGTTCTACAAAAAACTGTTACGAGCATTTGATGATATTGAGGGAGACACACAAAAAGTGAATATATAAACGCTAGCTTTACAACCAGAGAGAATACTCTATTTCAGAGAAGAAAACAGAGAAAGAGAGAGAAGGACTTGCTAGAAACATCACTTGGAATAGTAAGAGGAATCTTCTAAAATACTCCATAAAATTTCTAGGTGCTGTAAGTACCAGCAATAGCTCATCAGAAACATGTTCCTAACTCAGGTAAAACTTGCTTGAAGATCTCCAGCATAAAAGAAGCTACCAGAAACAGGAACAGACCACAGAGGATATATCCTGGGAAGGCAGAAGGCACCAAGCTGAAGGAAAGAGGCAGCAACATGCACAGCAAAGCAGAAGCATGCTATAACCAAGGACAATCTGAAGAGTCCAGCAGAGGGGGAAGCTTCAGGTGCAGTTTTTGAGACTTGCCACTGACTGAACTCTTGGGACCTGGTAGGGAACTTGAAGAGAAAAATCTCAGGACATCTTTGCAAGCTATCTGCATTCTGCCACACAAACAGGCTGCGAGGGTGTCACCCATCAATCTAGATTGGTGGATCTGAGGATATAAAACTAATACTTTCTGTGACAAGGTGTAACTATTATTTACTAGTGTCAGGAACAGCTCTGTGCCACACTTACATTCAAATTTTATACAGGGATATGCTGAAGCTAGAAAGCTAGAAAATTCAGGGAGGGCTAATCAACATATAACTCCTTTGAACCTCCATATTGGTAAAAATACATTCCTCAAACTAATTCATTTTAGTGCTAAAGAATCTAGCACAGCTGTGTATTTCACAAGTAACACAGAAACATGAACATCTCTCTAATGAAAAATAACAAGTAGTGAATGAAGAGACAGGAAAATGACAGTGAACAGGTCTTGCATTATCAGCTACGATTCATCTGAAGTTAATCAACTCTGGATGGCAGTAGCTCCGCATAAGAGGAAGATCCCAAATTCAACAATTTCAATTCTGAAAAAAAAAAAAAACAACAAAACAACAAACAAACAAGAAAACTCCACCTCTTTTACACTGAATCAAATGGACAGATTTGAACAACCTAGAAAAAGAAGTATTCAGCCTGCATATAAAATAAAACTGCTTACTGGCTAAATCATTTCAAAGATGTTTCACTAGTTGTGCCTTTGGCTTTATACTCACATGTGTGGATTTTGGAAAGGAACTCCTGAAGTGTTTAGAGTAAATCTTGCCGTAGACTTGAAAGGTGGATTTGCAAAATTTAACTTCAGCGCTTTGCGTTTACCTGGGAGACAACGAACATAAAGTAAACTTTTTGTCAGAAACAAAACAGCATTTTGTAAGAGCATCAGGAAATCAGCAGAAACAATATAACACTTTGTAAGAAAAGGAAAACACATTTCGCATTTACATAAGCAAATCATAACTTGTGTTAAGGACACAGGAATCAAGAAAGCGAATCAATTCTCACCCCAAGGTCTTCCCTGTCCTGTTCCACATCAGTCACTAAGCAGAGGTGTCCCAAGGATGTTCCGTGGCAACTGGAGGACCAGCATCAGCAGCCAGAACTACCAACAGCCACGGGGCACCTCCACATTGGGGCTGAGCTCCCTCCACACACAGTCCTCATTTAAACACATTTCACACTGAGCTCAACTCCAGCCTGGTGGCAAAGGGGACTTGCTCTACTTGGTACATCTACCAGAGCCAGGATGGACAGCAAAGGTAAAGGGGAAGCACTGGATGTATTATATGAAACCCCAACTGCAGAATCACTGACATTCCTCAGCCTCACAGCAAATTAAGCATAATCGGGCTTAAGCGAGGATGGAGGAGATACGCTGTGCTCCTACTGCCAGGCAGGTCACCGAGCAGAAAGCAAAGCTCAGCCCGACAGAGCAATGACCAGGTGGGAGAAAGCTTTGTTCTGCAGCCAGCTGAGACACTGTGCGGAAAGACACAGAAATAGGAAGGTGAAAGAGGGGGAAGAGCTGCTGGGCACCGCTCCAGCCACCAGATATGTATTTCTTAAGCACCATCAGAATCAGAGCCTACAGAAGTAAGACACCCCTTCCCAGCCCTCCTACTGGGCTGCAAAAGATCCCACCTTGTTTCCATGTGGGTTCAGGAAACCCAGACATCACACGGCCCCGCACCAACACAGTACAGCCAAGGTCTCCTCTGCCCACAGCCTCCCAGGACTCCAAGCACAACCTCCCAGAGGTACTCACCTCCTGGGCAGGGGTCCAAAACTCAGCCCTACCTGTAGGTCGGGCACTGCAACCAACCACCTTGTGAGGCGCCAGCTTTCAGCAATGAACCCAATACCCAGAGTCCTCCAGCACCTTTCTGCCTGTGCCCTGAGGTGGGGATCATATTCCTAAACATACCATGGGTCTGCTGGGAAAAGCAGAGAACGCTGTGGACCACAAGAGCATAAACACCACTGAGCATAAACACCACTGCACTCTGCACTGCTTCTCTACCTTGCACAAAGGGATATGTGCTTTAAGTGACTTCAGGACAATGGGAAGAGAAAAAACTAGTTACAAGTCAAAGCCATGGAATATTACCTGCCACCCCAGACAAGTCCACAGCATATGGAGCTCCACAGTGCTCCTCTGACCTTCCCTGTTTGGTATCTTCATTTTGGGATGATCTCCTATGTCCTCTATATTACCTTTTATTTTTCAACCACTGATGCATACTTCTAGCTTCACTCCTGCTGCAATACAGTGTAGGAAGGCAATGCAACAATACAGTAAACTGTTTGGAAATATCTGCATTTTCTAATCATCACCTGATTTGTTACACACAAGAGATTTGCAGGAAATGCAATAGCACAAAATCAATTATTCAAAGCTTTGCATTCCACCATCTAAAATGAAAAAACACCTCATTCTTAGCTAACAATTCACCTGCAGTTTTCCACAAGGCCCCAGCTGGTAATACAGGATCTTACATCACTCTTGACGGGAGAGAAGAGGGTCAGTGAGTTTGCCCAGTCTAGGGACCCAGTATGAGGCACAGCAGGCTGTGGTGAAGACAGCAGCACTGCAGAGCTCAGTGCTCCCAAGCTGCCTTTCTTGGGCATGTTACCTGAATGAGATTACACAGTATGGTCTGGGATGCAGAACTGCATGGAAACAAGCAATAAGATTCTTGTTTATAAAAACTATGAACGCATTGCAAGAGGGTGATTGATGAACAGCTTTGCCCATCCCAAAAGTAATCCTGTTCATCAGAATACAGAGAAATGCCACTGCTGGTGCTGACAGCTGATCTGCTTTGGCGTAGTTCTGTTCTCAGACTGGGTCTGGTGATTTAGAGCTTTCATCATTCTTCTGGTTTTGTTTTATTCACATGCTTGAAGCACTATCCTTCTCTCCCGGGGCAACAGTACAGGAGTGCCATACGATTTTCCATTTGGAACCACAACATCTACATGATGTGAGCATTTGTCCTTGAAGCAGCCCAACGCTGAAAGCTACACAATTAGCTACAGGCTGATTTCCTCTTCTGAAGACCTGTTCCTACTCTTTACTACCTGCAACACTTTATGCACTAAATTTCCTTGCACTGAGTGTACTTTCGTTTTTAAATCAGTTAAAAATCAATCTATGGATTTCTATGTCATTAAGTTTCTAAGAATAGTTTCAACAATATCAATTTGACACCTGAAGCTGGATTTTCTGCAAATCCAATAAACGTAGAAGCATGACCCACCTCAGGAAGGCAAACAGGATGGTTTGCTTTTTCCTCAAGTTATTAGCAAGGAAAAGGACTAGGGGAGACACGGTCTTGTTGAGAAATGCTGAGAATTTCCATTCACATACTATAAACAAAATAGTTTATAGTTTATAAAACAACACAGCACGTTCTCCTCCTCAATAGCCTTTCAAATTCAAGCACCTTTAGCTTCCCAGTCTGGATTGCGAGTTTCATTCCAAAGATCTGAAAGCTCCATGCTCTCACTGCTTGCAAAGACTTCACGCAAAACAAATGGAGGCGAAAGAGCTTCTTTAGATACATGAGTTCTGCTGGTGATTTTAGCACAGACGGATTAAATTCAGACCACCCTATTCTTCCCTCTAAACTAACGAGGCCAAGGACTGATGTTGCTTCCGAAATGAGCCTAATGCCACTGTCACTATCAAGGCTGCACGCACAACACTGTCCTAAAACATGCTGTAGAAAGATCCATTTCATGTAAATTAACCATCCTCTAAAGGTTTTGCTAACAATAAGTAATTCTGACCATTGAATGCTCTAACATCTGCACCTCAGGAAATTGTGAATGCACCAGAGAAGCAATATTCAGAAAGAAACCAACAAACAGAAAGCAACACCCCTCATTTGGGAACATACTGCTCCTTCATAAACCTCAAAAACAGACCTGAAACTATGACAGTTTTTCAGCTAAGGTCTAACCAATTTTGACAGATTTGTTAAGCTAAGTGTTAATGGTCATAACGATGTTATTGTTTGAATGCAAGATAGCCTTGGCTTTCTTGAAGTGGTAAAAAAGCTTATGTTTTGAGGGCATCTAACCAGCATGGTAACTATCCTAGGCTGTACTTATCTCAGAAGCCCAAACAGGCTTTTAACTGAAGTCAATTTACTATCCATAACATGATAGTAATACTTATTCCAAGTCACAACTACCATTAAATAACAGTGTTCTTCTCTAAAAAGGATTTGAAAACACGACACTGCTTTAGTATCAGGCTGCTACACGGCATGAAAGTAACAGAGATGCTTTCTCTGTGTCCTGCAATTCAGCAGCCGCACATCCCTCGGCATTTCACTGACTGAGGGCCAAAAAGGACCATGTGGAAGAAAAGCAGCTGGGAAGCCTTGCCAGGCACACACCGGAAGCCACCTGCACAACGGCAACAGCAGAACAACCCAGGCTCGAAATGCACACTTGTTTCCTGCTGCATGAGTAAGTGGATGCTGGGTTAAGTACGTAATTATTTATGTGCTGCTATCCATCACCAGGATTAATCCAGGCACTTGGCTCTGCAATTAGGTTCTCATCACTCATTTTGAGGCTACTTTACCACAACCACAGCCAACCTGTCTTTGTACAAGAGGAAACAGCCATCTCCTAGATAACATGCAGTACGAGGTATTCCCCCTGTTACATTCTGTATTATTATTTTTACTTCACCACAGACATCTACAACTTCCCCAAGGCTCTAAGTCACCTCCTGTTGGACAAAACAACCACTTTTCTCCTGGAATTTCCTTACCCCAACTCCTGCATGCTACATCTATATAACAGATACTCACAATATCACAATATTCATGTTACACTTAAGAAAATGTTTTTCAACTTTTCAAAACAACAGCAGATAAACGGATTTTCTTCTGGGTTTCTGTCTTGCAGGGCCACAAACCGACTCCTATGGAAGTGCTTTCCACTTGACCCAAATCTGCCCCGTGCACCACCTGACACGGTGTGAACATGACTGTCACGGTGCAAATGTGACTCTTCTCTCTGGGTTCCAAAGCCTCTCTGCTGTTTGCGGAGCAGCAATATGCCAGGAAGCCACGTTACACTTTATTTCCTTAGTCTAGTATTGCAAGAAAATGGAAATAAACAAAAAATGAGTTGTGGCAGAAAACAGCAGGCAGATAATTGGGGAAACTGCAATAGCTTTGTAGCCTTCTTACCCTTGCTTGATTAAGCCAAAACACATCAACAAAGCATGAAAATAGGACAAGAGGCCAGGCAGGTGGGTGACCTGCTTCAGTCTGAGAAAGAAGCTGAATGCTTGAGGACACCTTTCTAAAGAAAGAAAGCTGCAAAATACCAGGTCTGATCAAAAAGAAAACGATACAACACAGATCCCTCTGCTCTTCCAACAATTCTTATTATTCAAATAGTTAGATCTTCTCTGCTAACAAAACGCCTGTTTTGATGTAGCAGGCAGGATTCACTGCTCGCTGTCTCCATTGCTCCTAACACAGTACTACTTTCCCATAAGCCCTTCCAATCTGTAATCTTGCTGTTAAATTTCCTTCCTTTCCAGCCTTGCTCATGGAGGTACTCCAAAATCAGCACTGCTAATTTGAGAGTAAAGCAGGCTTCCAGCCTTGCCCTCCAGACATGCTATTTTATAAATAAAAACCAGCCAAATTCTGAAACGAAACATGAGGAACTTCAGCATGCACAGCAGTTTATTTGGGGAGTATGAATGGAAGGAGATAACTGGAATTGCAGTTAACAGTTTTACAAACTCCATCTACAGAAACTCGCTTTGATGAATAATAGCACAA